TCCCCACTTCACTGTCTGTCTGTCTCCTGCAAACCCAGAGCTACTCCCATCTGTCAGAAGGCTGATGTGGGCTCCTCTCCCAACAAGGCAGAATGACGATAAGGTTACTTTTTCATATCAGGGATATTAATGCTCCTCTTTCCGATAATGAGCCATAGCCTGAACCCTCCTACTCTCCGAGGAAGGGCTTGGGGATGGGCAGGGGGAGCTGTGATGTAGGAGGACCCACTATGTGCTGGGAGCCATTTTGATCATCACCACCCTAAAGAACAGGAAGTGGTATCCCCACCTTACAGACCAGACCCCAAGGCTCAGAGAGGTAAGGTGACCTCCCCAAGACACACAGCACACAGGCAGGATCAGGTTTCAGATCTGAACCAGGTCTGCCTCTGAAGCCCAAGGTCTTTGCTGCCTCCCAACAAATCTAGAGACGTCCCCTGAGCTGCTGCCCAGAAGCCCCGTCACCCTGACAGTTCAGGGAGAGGCCCTGCTCTATCCCATGGTCAGGCCGGGAAGCCAAGCCCAGCTCTGGCTCAATAATACAGCCAGAGGCTGGACAAGGCCCTGAAGATCCTGGACTTGCCAGAACCTCCCTGCCCCACCAGGTGCTGCAGCCCAGTGGTGGCCCGGCCTTGGGGCCATGAGCTCCTTTACCTTTCTCCCCAGAAGCCGGAGGGGCCAAAAGAAGGGCCAGCACACCCCGGGGCTAAGCCATAGACCAGTGGCCTGCTGGGGCACCTGCTTTCTCCCTTGCCTCTGACCAGGTGAGGTCCCCAACTTTCCACTCATCTGAGCCCTCGGTGCTCTCCCCGCTCCCAGCTGCCATGGGGGCTCTGGAACCATGGACCTGAGTGTGAATCCCAAGCAGGCCACTTTAGTAGCCGTGGCATCCTGGACAAATTACATCACCACATCTGATTCCCTCATTCATGAAGTGCAGATAATAACAGAACTTACCTCAAAAGACTGTTAGGAAAATTAATAGGAATAGTGGAGATTCTGTCATATTACCCCAGATGTTGAGAGCCCCGGAGGCCTTCCCCACAGCGGTCGGCATCCCAGACAGGTAATGAGGTGTGTCTAGAGTCATGCAGGCAGGCCCCGGTGCCAGGTCTGGGCCAGGACTCGGTGGGAGCCTGGGCCAAGGCAGAAGTCCTCCCCGCAGCAGGTGTTGAAGGCGTGGTGCCAGCCAGAGCAGAGGCTGTCCGTGCTCTCACAGGAAGGTGGGACCCACGTGTGGGTCGGGTATTCACACATGTGCAGGTGGGTGTGCCCAAACTGAGCCCAGAGTGCAGAGAGCAGGGAGGTGGTGACTGGCAAGGGTCCAGACCACTGGGACAGGGACTTGCAGCTTGATAAGGCTTTGGATCTTCATTTCGAGAGAACAGCGGAAGGCTCTGGAAATCAGAGGAGGGGAGGGCATGGACAAGAGCGGACCACGAGCCTTGGCACTGAATGGGGTCTCTGGCTGCAGCATGCTACCTGACCCTGACCGAGGGGCTGGAGGCCAGGGGCGTGGCCATCGCAAGTGCCCCGGTAAGAGCTGACGGGGACTCAGACCAGCCTGGTGGCAGAGGTGAGGAGCGGATGCATGCAGGGTATGGTCTGGTGGTAAAATCCAAGGACTCGGGACGTGCCAGACACGCAGCTGAAGGAGAAGGAGGGACAGAGACAAAGTTCAGTTTCCTGACTTGCACCACTGCGTGGAGGGCGGTGTCAAATAAGGACAAGGCAGGGGACAGAGAGTCATGGAGTCGGGTCTGGGGCAGGTGGTGTGTCATGGAGGTGGTAATGGTGATTACCATGGTCCAGCTGGTGACCATGAGGCGGTAATGGACGAGGAGCGATTGAGAGAGAAAGACATCCATGAGGACAGACGATTCCTTCAAGAAGCTTGCGGGGAAGGGGGGTATAGAGAGACAGGGCAGTAGGCCAGGGAATGAGGGCCGAGGGAGGGTTGGTTTCATGCAGGACAGAAAAGACTTGAGCGTGAGTGGCGGCAGGGCAGCCGGACCCGTGCGGCCGTGGCATTTCGTCATGTTTCCCGTCCACTCTGCTGCTTGCCCGTGGTTCCGAACCGGGGAAGTGATTGATTCTATGTAAACAGGAGGACGCAATTAGTCCGTGCATGCCTGGCCATTAATAAGCTTCTTGTGTATTTATAACAACACCTCACTTACCCTCCAACCTGAGCACAAATATCCTGAGACAAGCCAGGAATAAGCAGAGGAGACCTCCGAGTAGCCACAGTCATTGACACCAGAGTCCCCTTCTTTACTCCTGGGGATGTTCCTCCCTTAGAACCCACCCACTCTCACCTGCCCTGTGACTCTAATAAGCGCGCAGGGCTTCTTAGTCCACCCGAGATTAGAATGTGGCTACAAGGGGAAAACTTGACTTTTCTATGGGGCACGCACAGTATTTCTAATGGGCAGGGCTGCCGGAGACACCCTGGTGCTAGGGGTGAAGTGCAAGGGTTTAACACGTCCCTCTGGTCCTGGTGAGTCTCTCCCATGTAACATAAGCGACTTCTGTACTCCTGTCTGGGGCTGCCTCCCCTCCAGCCTGGAAGGCGGGGTCATATCTTATTACCTGGGAATCCCAGCGCCGACCCAGGGGAGTCCCAGCCCCGTGCTCCCTTCATGCCGCTCAGAACTCAGGGGAACAGGCAACAGGCGGAGCAGGCCTCTACAGACGGGAAAATGGAGGCCCCGACCCAGGAAGCCACGTGGGCCTCGCGTTGGGAGCCTGGCTCTTGCAAAGATCTCCAATGGCTCCCTTGCCGGCTGGAAAAGAAGGGGAGGTTTCTATGCAAATATGAGGGCTGCCCCACCGGCTGGACCCCTCACAGAGTGAGCCCATGGAGAGGGAGAGGGGGCTGGGTTGGGGCTTTCTCTGTAGGCGCCTAGGCTCCGCTGAGACTAGCTTCGTGGGACAGCTTCGGACAATGCCAGAAGTACCTCTTTTCCCAAAGTGGCACCCTGCATGGTTTCCTCACCTGCAAAATGGGCGACACCCAGGAGTGGTTGGCTCCACCCCAGCCCCCGCAAAGGCCTCCCCCTCCAACACATATGTCTGGGAGCCTTGGCCAGGGCAGGGGTGCCCACAATTGCTTGGGATTGTGTCCCGACTCTGCATTTTTCTGCCCTGCCTTGCACGTGCCCCTCCAAACCCCAGGACTGAGGTGCCAGCTGTGGCTTCTTCCCTCCAAAGAGACCCGAAGGACAGTCTGGGGTCCTGTGGGCATAACCACTCCACCCGCGGGTTTGCCCACACTGTAGTGTTATTGCCGTATCTGCATTAGCTGCCAACTTTAAATATTAACAGACACCACATAAAAAGTCCAGATATACAACCTCTCCTGAAAACGCAGAAAACTGGGCTCATGTGCCCATGGCCATGTTGGCTCGAGCTGGGAACACTTTCCTGGCAGGTTTCACCAGGGTCCTGCCGGTCTCCTGTGGGCATTCGCGTTTGCCCCTCTGGTCCAGTCCAACTGCTGCCTGTATCCCCTGCCCTTCACAGCCTCTACTGGCGCTCAGCCTCTGCTAACGGGGCTGGCTGCGTCTTCGAGGCCACTGACCCAAGCCCTTGGGAAAGGGCTGCTGGATGGGCTGTCTTCCCCCTTCCGTGACAAAGACGCACAGGGGAGATTGAGCTTTGGAGCCCGGTGGGCCTGGGTCTGCGCCCCTCTCCAGCATCTGACCTGCTGTGTGATCTGGCAAACAAAGCCCTTGCTGCACTTGTTTCTTTAGCAGCACTGCCCACGGGGCTGCGTGACCCTCAAAGTAGAGCAAGTTTGTGAAGCTCCTAAAGCAGCGTCTGGCACAAGGCACACGCTCCCCACATAGCCTTCATCGTGCTACGGAACCTCCCGCCACGGCCCCACTCTGCCCTGGTGAGCATAGGGGGCCCTGAGAGATCGTCTGTGCCCGGTACAAGTTAGAGGCAGGGTGACGACTCAGCCCCAGTGTGCGCCCACACCTGAGGGCCAGCTCCTGGGAGCTGGAGACCTCTTACCTTCTTCCAGGACAACGTGAGCCACCAGGGCGCACCCCTGGAGGGATACCAGGTGCCTGCCCTCCCAGGACGAGATGCCGCTCCTGGGAACGGAACTGGAGGTGGGGAAGCAGGGAGTGTCCATCACCATCATCCAGGAACAGCTGCCATTACCAGGGCACCTGGCTGCCTGCCAGGCAGTGGGAGGGTCGCTTTACCTGCGATGTAATCCTCACCACAGCCCCAGGATATCAGTACGGATGTCCTAGTTTTACAGACAAGGAAGTTGAGGTTGAGACAGGTTAGGAAACTTGCCCAAGGCCACAGAGTCAGGATTTAACCTTGTCTGTCTGGTCCCGGGGCTTGTGCTCTTGACCAAGACGAGGATGGCGCCCTCGTGCTCAGTCATAAGGGTGGAGCAGCGGAGAGAGCTTTGACCTAAAAGTTTGTCTTTACGTGGGTCTCTGAGCCTCTGTGGGTGAACTAGTGAGTGTGCATCCGAGTGTGTCACGGTGCGAGGCACTTTGTGTGGGAGAATGAGTCTGAGCCCTGCGAGCGTGCAGATGGATGTCGCCCTTGTGTGTGCACACCGGGATTTCTCCGGGTGTGGGGGCGGTGGTCCTGTGGCTCCGGACGCGCTGGCTCTGAGTCCACGTGCGAACCCGGGGCGCAGAGAGCGCGCGACCCCCGAAGGTGCGGGCGGGTGAGTGCGAGCGTGCGCACGTGCAGCGGTGGTGTCCGGCGGCCCGGTGTCAGCCTCGCGGGCTGCGTGCCCCCCACCCCCTCGCCTCGGTGCTGATTGGCTCGGCGCCGTGACGGGCCAGCCCCCGCCCGGGGCGGCGGCGGCGGCGGGCGCGGGTGCCCGCGTGTACGCCGTGAGCCGGCGTGTGCGCCGGTGTGTGCGCCCGGCCGCTGGGTGTGCGGGAGAGCCAGGGAGCGCGCCGACGCGCGGGCGGCCGCGGCCGAGCCCGAGGGTGAGCGGCGCCCCCGCCCTCCCGGCCATGGCCCCCGCCTGGGGCCGCCTGCACCCCGCGCTCTGGGTCGTCACGGCCGTGGCGGCGGCGGCCACCAGCGTGTCCGCGGCACGCGGCGAAGGTGAGCGGCGGCTGCGGGGCGGGGGCGGCCGAGGGACAGGGGGCGCGGCGCGCGCTGCCCGAGGCTCAACTTCCTTTCCCTGGATCTTGAGCGCCAACGGGGCTGGATCCCTGGGCGTGGGGGAACAGGGGTTGCGCCGCGGGGAGACCCGAGGTCAAGGGACAGAGGGATGGAGAAGGGGACAAGACTGGGTGATGAGGGAGAGAGGCAGGGGGTACTGGGGGACAGTGCTGAAGGTTAGGAGCTGGGGACAGAGAATGGAAGATCGGACACTGGGGACAGGGACAGGATGGGAGACAGCAGACGGGAGAAGAGGTATAGAGGAGAGAGGGGACAGAGAACACAGGGGACGGGGTGGGGACAGAGAACAGCGTGACAGAGGGACACAAAGATGCAGGATGAGATTCAGAGGACTGAAGGAGAGGGGGCAGGGGATGCACTGAGAGATGGGGACCAATATCTGAGCAGTGAGGACCAGAGAGAACAGGGTAGGATTGGGGGGAGACAGAAATGAGGGGCAGGGAATGAGCCTTGGTCGTGGCTGGGGCGCAGGGCTGGAGGACTGAGGGGGAAGGAGGCAGGGCAGCTGGGCAGTGTGAGCTGGCAGGGAGGCAGCTTCCGTGGGCAGGGAGGGGCCGCCTTGGGAGGAAGGGCCAGTGAGGAGAGGCCTGAGGCGCTAGCTGATGAACTGAGTCAGGCGAGGCTGGGGAGATCAGGGTCTTATCCAGAGGCAAGACTGGGCCAGTCCGGTCACTCAGGGACGCAGGAGAGGGAGGCTGGGTTGAGAACGGAGCCAAAGGGTCTGGTGGATGACCTCCTGGGGATGGCAGGGGACAAGGCAAGCTGGGAGGGGACATCCATGGGGCTCCCCCAGCACCTAGGCAGGGCCTCGCACCTACACACACACACACACACACACAGGATGCTGCCCCCATCCTAGACCTCTGCTGCCCAGAGTAAGCTGGACCTGGTGCGCTGTGCTGGCCCCCGGCCGGTGTCCTGGGTCCAGAGCTGGTCTCACCTTGGCAGAACGAACTTCCAGATTCAAGGGAGCTTCAGAGACGGTGTCTGTTGTGCACACTCCGATACACCACAGGTCCACCCCCCACACACAAACAGCTCCCAGAGATCCACTGGTACCCTGGATCTCACACACACACACACACACACACACACACACCGGGATTTGTGTGCACAGACCCAGGCCTATAGAGACTCACGCGCATGGATAGCCCCTCCGCCCACTGTCAGATGCACAGAAATGCAGGCAGTACATGCGTGCACACACATACATGTACAGGGGCGTACACTTGAAAGTATGCACATTTGTGGGCAGACGCCAGATACGAGAAAGGCCCTCAGACTTGCATTCGTGCCCATGGTAATAGGTGTGCACAGAATGAATGCAGACTGCCACAGGAAAACGCAGTCTCCGGTGCACGGGTCACGCAGGGAGCAGGGACCGTAGCAGGGTTGCTGAACAGCCCGGCTGGGGCGGGTACTGATGAGGTGCAGGCTCCTGGGGCACCAGGAGAGGCAGGAGGGGGTGGCCAGGGCCCTCAGAGCTGTGGTCTGAGGAACAGCTTTCCCAGGGGTGGGTACCCGGGATCAGGCAGCTTCTTCACCAGCGGCAGGAACTCTGTGGGGACCCACATCAAGGCTTTGGGCGTTGAGTGGTGCGCTTTCCATTCCTTGATTCAACTCTCTCCTCAGGGAGGAGCCGGCACCCTCCAGAGTGCAGGCTTAGCAAATGCCAGAGCCCCCCCGGGGAGGGGCCTTTGGGGAGGAGAGGCTACTGGCCTGCGGGAGAGGATGTGTCAGTGTTCAGTGTCCCGGGAGGAGCAGCTGGGTAAGGGGCGAGACCCGTGCAGAGAGGAAGCAGAGAAGTCCTGGAGGGAGTGGTGGAGGGACGCATTGTCCTCGCCTGTGTGGTCAGCGCGTCAGGGTGCCCACAGCCAGGTCGGGGAGCCATGTGTGGAGACCTCGGGAATGAGTTTCGAGTGGGACAACCAGGAGTCCCTTCCAGCTCAGCTGGTGCAGAACCAGGATTAGCTGGGAAGACGTTGGACCTTGAGGAGGGGTCTCTGTCCCCAGCTGGGGTCCCAAAGGTGGCAGTGCCCCAGGCTGGTCAAGTGCCCCTACGACAGGTCCCTCCCTGGGCAGGGGGGTGGGCCATCCACCTGCAGAGATGCTGGGCTGGCAGCCCTTTGTCACTCCACGGTGGGGAATTACCCACCACTTCGAGTGATCTCGGAGGCATCCACATCCCGGCTGACATCCCCGGCCACCCTGAATTTTCCATCCTCACCATCATGCGCTGTGTCCTCAGGGAATGTAAATCAATTTAAGTATTAGTCTCAGCGAAATGGAATGGGGGAAGGTGACAGTGCTGGAGAAAAAAGAAATCGCATAATGCCTTCCACAGTCGAACAGGAGAGGCTTCGGAAGGGTCTGTGCCTCTCAGAGCTGGAGATGGGTTCATTTGATCCCCCAGAATGGCCGGGGGCGGCCAGCCTGGGCAGGGGCACCCATGAACATCCGACAGATGAGGAAACCTAGGCACAGAAGGGTTAAGTAATTTGCTTTCCCCGAAGGCCCTAAGAGACCATCTGGTCCACCCCTTACATTTGCAAGTGGGGAGACCAGCCCAGAGGAGGGAATCGGCGTCACAGAGGTCACACAGACCCACAGTCCAGCAGCACGAGAGGCAGGAGAGAGCCCAGCCCCAGTGACCAGATGGGCGTGAACCTCCTTGGGGACTAAGGCCCCGGCCAGGTGGACTGAGGGCTGGAATTCTCTCCAGCCCAGACGAAACCTGCAGTGGGCCTGGAGCTGCCCAGGAAAGGGAACGTCATTTTGTGTCCCCCAGACAGGAGGGGACATGAAATAGGGAAGGGGAGGACAGAGGGAGGAGAGGAGAGGGGAGGGATAGAGAAGGGCCTGGAAGAAATTAGAACAAGCAGCCCCGGAATCCTGTGGCTCTTCCTGAATCCGATAGAATCGACTTTTGACTTATCTTTGGATTATCTGCGTCCCCTGGCTGGCTGATCAGAATCTGCTGCAGATGGGGTGGGGCTTCCCAGGGGAGGGCAGGGCCTGGAAATGGGGTCTGCAGGCGGCTGCCCCTGGAGCCAGTGTGTTCCGGGGGGAGGAGTCCAAGCAGGGAACATCCATTCCGATACCCCCTGCATAGGGGCAGGTCTGGGCTGCTCGGAGAAGGGCCCTCCAGCTCCGAGACCCCATCCAGGGTGGGGGTGAGGGTGAGGGTGGGGGAAACCCACAGGCCTCTTTCCTCACCCCCTCCCCAAACTAGGCCCTGCTGGTCTTGGGGAAGCTGCAGTGCGGCCCCCTCTCCCTCCCACCCGGCAGCAGGAGAGAGCTGGCTGACCCAGTTTCCTTCCCATTGCCTGAGAGGGAGGGAGGGAGGCGGGAAGGCTTCTGTGCCTGTGCCCCTGGCCCTGGCGTGGGGCCGGCTCCCTCTGTGGCTTTGGCTCCATCCCCAGGTCCTGCCTGGCCTCTGGGGACCCCCGGAGGAGCCCAGAAGACCCTCCTTGGTTCTGCAAGCCCTCTCTGCAGCCAGCCTCCCCTGCACCCCTCACCATAGGGTGGGGAGGGTGAGTGGAAGAAAATCAGTGAACAAGAGCATCCTCACTCCCACATTCCCGAGGACGCTTGTCTCCATCTTTGAGGGGCAGGCACAGAGCTATGCAAATCTCAGGCAGAGAACCCCCAGCCTTCCTCTGGAAAGTTCCAGAGGGCCCCGGTTTTAACCCTCTCTGCCCTGCCCGAGCCTGCCCTTGGGGTTAGTTGGAAACCATGACTGCTGGCTGTAAGGAGGGGTGCATGGAAGAGAGAGACACGGAAAGCCCTGGAACTGTGGAACCAAGAGCCCTCTCATACAGCTATCACCAGAGAACGCAAAGAAAGCAGGGGCCCAGAGAGGTGCAGGGACTTACCCAAGGACACACAGCAGTGAGAGGTACAACTGGGATCCAAGCCCTGATTTCCTAGCAGTTTAGTGAGAGGCAGGAGGGGCAGCACTTAGGGACAGGGAACTGGCTTTGGTGAGGCACTGACCCCACTCAGGCTTTATAGTTTACCCTCACCTGCCCTCCGATATTGTCATCTCCATCTCACAGCGGAGGAAATGAGGGTTTAAAACACTTTCTGGATGTATCAAGGTATGAGCCCAGAGGTGTCTGACTCAGCTTATGGGCTCTTTTCCCCACCCTGAGGATCTGGCTTAAAAATAGACTTGCTTTCTGGCCAGCACTCCTTCCCCACCGTCCCCACCATGGGCCCAGGCTCTGCCAGGCTACAGGCATTGACTTCATCGACACGGCCGGGGCTCTGAACGCCAGCCCTGCTCTTGACACTTGGGGTGCCCCAGGCACATTCCTGAACTCTCCTGAGGCTCCATGTCCTTCATCCATAAAATGGAGACAAGAATGACCACCCCTCAGGGTGGCTGTGTGGGTCACAGAGGAGGCATTTCAAGCTCCCCTTGCAAAGCTCAGCACACAGTAGGTGCTCACCGAGAGGCAGCTCTGCTCCCCTCAGTCACTCCACATCAAACGTGCACAGAGGACCTACTAGCGGGTGGTAACTGTGAGTGCCAGTGCGCCCAGTGAAGGACGAGGGCCAAGTCAGCCTCGCAGCCCCTGTGAGTCAGAAACCACCGTCACCCCCATTGCAGGAGGAGGAAGCCGAGACTCAGGGAGGGGAAGGGACTCGCTCAGGGACACACAGCTCCTAAGCCGCAGAGCCGGGGTGGTGACGAAGGCCTCCCGGACTCTGGAGCCCGTCTCAGCCCCCCCACTGCTGCACCAAGCGGGCAGCCTGGCACTCGGGGAAGCTTGTATTCTGGGAGTTCAGATGGTCGGGTTGTGGCCAAGGTGGTAGAGGAGGGCTCCGGGGAAGAGAGAGAACGTGAACTGACCCTTGATGGACAGGGCGAGTCCGCAGGCACACGAAGACAGGGAGCTGGCGTGTGGGGGCTGAGCGCTGACCAGTGCAGCTAGGCCGGGCTGCTCCCGGGGGACTGGGGAAGGCGGCCCCAGGGGTCTGACGTGCTCTTGTCTCCTGTTTTGCAGTGAACTTGCTGGACACGTCGACTATCCACGGGGACTGGGGCTGGCTCACGTATCCGGCTCACGGGGTAAGAGAGGGGCTGCGCGGGCAGATTCCTCCCTCCGTGAGCAGAGACAGGCTGTGACTCAGAGTCTTATCACGCAGATCAGGAAGGAGCAGAGGCCGAGAGAGAGGACAGGACTTACCCAAGGACCTACAGCAGTTAGAGACCGAGCTGCTGACTTCTTAACGGTTTGGCGCTCTCAGAGCCTTGAGATTACAGAACCAGCTCGGGCTGGGCAACAGACCCTTCGTGTCCGAGGCCCTGGATGTGGGATTCTGGGTCTGTGTCCTGGGCCCACAGATTCACGATGTCCTGAGACTGGGCCCAGGGCTGCCGAAGACACATCCGTGTCGAAAGGGGCCAGGAAGGACCTCACAGTTTCAGGGTTGGTCCGCTCCCTCACAGCTGCCCTGACAGGAAACCTGGAACCCCGCTTGCTTCGAGTTTCTATCAGAACCATCTGGGTGGCGTTGCCAGTCCCCGGCCCCCGAAGGCCAAGCCCTCTGCCCATCTGGCCTCCACGGTAACCAGGGGTTTGGGCTCAGCCCATCAGGTCCCTGTGGGTCATGTGCTCATGGGAGACACACCCTCCCAGCCAGGGAGTGGTCACAGCAGCTCCAGGGACAGGGCTGCACGGCCTGGTTCCTCCACTTCTCTCACCCGAATCCCAGGAGGTGGGGCAGAGAACCCAAAGCCAGCCCATGAGCTCCTCCTCCCCGAGTCTCACTTTCCCGTCTGCAGAAAGGGGTGCACGTGTCAGCTTTGTGAGGTTTGCTGCAAGAGTGAGGGAAGATGACACTTGATCTTGGCCCTGTGCCTGGCACCGGTGAGCCTTCACTCGGTGCATCGTGGTCATCGTCGTTGTTCTTGGTATATATTACGGTTCTAGCTCATGCAGATTTCTTCCTACAAGTGCGCTCAGGGACACATACACACATCCCTGCTGTAGAGACACACAGTTCTTTCCACAAACACTTGGGCTTCCGTGGCTCTGGGGACAGAGGGATGATAATATTAGTAATAGTAGCAGGAACAACAACACCACGAATGCACATTCGCGGAATATTTCTTCACTTTGGGATGGAGCTTTCATCCAGGCCATTTGTGGCCTGTGGTCTGTGGCCTGTGGCTGAGGTCAGGCAGAGCTCTGGCCCTTTTGCTGTGGTGGCCCCAGGCAGCAGCAAGCTGAGTCCTCTTACCGGTACCAGCTCTTGTGCACCAGGCTTTAGCGAGCCGGAGGGGCGGGCTCTGGGCCCGAGAGCCAACAGGGGTCCCCTCCTCTGCCTGAGCAGGTCAGCCCTGCCTGGAGACCAAGGCTGGGACCCTGGAGTGTCCCTTGACCTCCCTGGGCCCTGGTCTCTCCTGCGAAGCACTCTTCATCTGTTCCCCAGACGCTGCCTCCCGGGGGTGGGTATGGGTGGAAAGGATTCTGGCCCTGCCAGTGGCAGGGGGCAGACCCCCAAGGAGGTGACTGCCTGGCTCTTGGCTGGGTCGGCCTTGCTCCACCACCCGCATGGCTAGGAAGGAGGGGGCCTGGCCCCAGGTTGGTTCTGGGTGTCCCTGTCCCTTTGTGCCACTCCAGATCTTAGGATTTGGTTTTTAGAGTAACAGAGTGGTGAGGATTTTAAGCAGGCGAGGCACACGCCCTGACTTGTGTTTTGCACGATCTCACTGGTAATTCTTTTGTTTGCAGGGCGCTATAAAACATGGCTCAGAGCTATCTCATTTCATTTGGGAGTTAGAACAAATAATATCTTATATTCACACAGCTCTTAGCCAATTCACAGATGTTATCTCATTTAATCCCCACGACCAGTCCTGCGAGCGGGTACAGCCACCCCATTTTACTGATGAGGAAGCCTCGGCTCAGAGCAATGGGAGAGAACTTGCTCACCGGCTGACAGGTTCCGAGTGGTGGCCTGAACCCAGGTACCTCTGAGCCTGGAGCCCGCGCTGAGTCCCTCCTGCCCCCTTCGGTCTCTGTCCTCACGGTGAGGGCTGGGAGGCGGCGCCGCACTGTCCTCTGAGCCAGGGACCACCTCCCGTCTCTGTGGGGCTTGCCCAGGCAGAGAAGGCTGGATGAGACCCTGGTTCCCAGGCCGTAGACCTTGAACTGGTGCCGGGATCCCAGGTGAAATGTGCAGACCCTGACATCAGGACGTCGGGGAGGAGCCTGGGAGTAAATAAACTCTCCAGGTGGTTCTCCTGCGCAGCCGCGTGGGGAGCCTTTGGAGACTGTCCTTGAGGTTCCTTCCACCCCTCGGGTCCTGGAGTCTGTCAGACACCCAGGGTACAGGGGCATCCAGGGCTGTCCCTGGCATCAGCCAAGTTACAAGATTATCAGGCAGGCCACACGGCCTAAAGGCCAAGGTGCTGGGTGTGGATGAACCGATGCTCTGCCACCTGTCATCAGTGTGACTGAGGCAAATCCCTGACCTCCTCTCAACCTCCGTGGTTGTAACGTGGGAACGGTAACAACCGGCTCCGTGCAGTTGTCATCTATGAGATGACATATGAAAAGGACAGTTTTCCAGTAAAAAAACAGAGGCTCTGAGAGGCTGGGCATCTCTGCTGAGGTTGGGGGAGGTCTGGCCGCGGAGCCCATGCCTTTAACCAGGCTGTGCCCCTGCCTTTGCTCCCCTCCCTGCACACACTGGGCAGGCTTCACCTGGCACATTAACAGCTGCCTTTGAGGGGAGGACACATTCCTTTCCATTGTTCACACCCCCTGGAGTAGAAGCAATGGGCAGGCTTTAGCGACCCCATTCTGCATTTGAGAAGCCCAGGGCTCCGAGGGTGGAGGTCAAATCACCAGGGCTGCACAGCTGGTTCACTGCATTCTGTTTGGGGAAGAAGACAGAGTTCCAGAGCAATGTCGGAGAGTGGAGAGGAGTGGGGGCCGGAGAGGCCCCCAGCACGGGATGGGGAGCCCCAGGAGGAGATTCCACCTTTTCCCCAGCCTCCAGGAATCCATGCCCCTCTGGGCGTCCGCAGCAGCCCCGGGGATGGCAGGGCCAGGTCAGGCCGTCGGCATTAGCGGGGCAGCCGGAGCGGACTGGCATAGAGCTGATTAATTTATCCCGGTCCCTGGCAGGAAACAGACAAGGAGCAGCTGGTTGGCTCTTCGATGCTCCATTAATTGTGACAATGACTTCAACCCCAGATGTGACCAGCGCTGCCCCGAGGCCCGGCTGCAGCGTGGGGCACGGGTCAGGGGTCCTCTTGGGCTAGGTAGGGGTTGCAGGAAACAAGACTGCTTTCAAGTGAGGCTGGCACACCCTGGGCTTCTCGGGGCAGGTGGTCCCTAGAGGCCGACACCGGTGGGCCGGGAGATGCTGCCCCCTCAGCATCACATCAGTCACATCCGTCTCATTCCTCGGGTGCCTTCCTGTGCCAGGCCCAAGCTAAGCACTTTGCAGGCTTTTCTGCACCCCCCGCAGGCTCTCTGAAGGGGGCCTGTCTGGCGCGCTCTGCAGACGTGGGCGCTGAGGGCTGAGACCACACAGCTGGCCACGTGAGGTGCGGCAGAGCAGCTTCCTCGGGCAGGAAGGACCGAGGCACCGGCGGTCCTCGTCCTGGCACCCGCGGAGCAGCTCAGACCCCTGCGGCGTCTCGGGGCTCCATGAGGCCTGGTGGTTGTATTTGACCTTTTACCTCTGCCTCCATTTCTTCTCAGCATTTTTTTCCTATTCCAGTTGACATTCAATATTGTTTTATATTAGTTTCAGGTGCACAGCACAGGGGTTAGACATTCATATGGCTTATGAAGTGCTCCCCCCGTAAGTCCAGAACCCACCTGGCACCGCACACAGTTATCATAATATTACCGACTATACTCCCTGCGTGGGGCTCTGCCTCCCCGTGACCGTTTGGGCCGCCGATTGTACTTCTTAATCACTTCACCTGTTCGCCTAGCCCCCCGCTCCCATCTGGAAACCCTCAGTCCGTTCTCGGTATCTGTACGTCTGTTCCTGTTTTGTTTCTTTGTTTCTACTGTTCTTTAGACGCCACATATACACGTAAGTGAAATCACGCAGCAGCCACCCTTCTCTGTCCGACTCATTTCCCGAGGAGTGGTCCTCGCCTCTTCCCTGCCCCCACTTACGTAACGGAATCTCTCGTCCAAGGACAAATGCACAGGAAGGCCCAGGAGAGAAGATCTGCTGCATCTCTGGTGGAGCTGGGACAGGGACCCAGAGCTTTTCCCCTCCACCTGCCCCCGGTCCCCAGCCTCTCCCCCGGGTCCTCAGCAGTCCACTGAACTCAGCCCACCGATAACTGCTCCTCACTAACCAGCATTCTGCAGGTGAGGAAACAGGGGCCCAGAGAGGAGCAGCGACTTGCCCAAGGTCACACAGCAGGTCAACACCTGCCGCATGGCTCTCCTGTGTCTAACCTGGGCTGCTCGCTGATCACCACTTACTCCTCCAGCCTCCCTGGGGCTCGTCCCTCCCTCCCCTGCACCGGGGACTTGGGGGCAGGGACTGTTTCTGCTGTAGTTCTTTCTTCAGGTTGCAGTCAAATACACATGATGTAAAATTCACTGTTCTTTAAAACGTTAACTGTAAGTGTACAGTCCAGTGGCATGAGCCCATCCACGGTGTCCGACCCACCCCCGGCGGCCACCACTCTGCTTCCCGTCTCTACGAGTCTGACTCCTCTGAGCGCCTCCTACACGTGGGGTCCTGCTGTGTTTGTCCCCTCGTGTCTCGTTTCCGTACATGGTGCGGCGTCCTCGGGTGCGCCCGCGTGGCAGCTGGTGTCGGATTGCATTACCTCTCAGGGCTGGTTATTACCCGGGGTCCGGACAGACCGCATTTCGTTTCTGTTCACCCAGCAACGGGTGCTCACGTTTCCGCCTTCCGTCCGCTGTGAATACAGGCATGCAAAATACTTCTCTGAGTCCCTGCATTCACTTCTTTTGAGTGTGTACCCAGAAGTGGAGCTGCCGGACTGTGCGCTGATTCTGTGTGTGATTTTCCGAGGGGCCGCCACACCGTCCTCCACGGCGGCTGCAGCATGCACATTCCCGCCAGCAACGAGCTGGGTTCCCGTGTCTCCACATCCTCGCCAACACCTGTTTTTTTCCTGTTGTTCCGATACTAGCTCTTGGGTGTCAGGTGGCATCTCATTGTGCTTCTGACTCCAACTTCCCTAATGGTTAGCGACCCTGAGCGTCCTTCCGTGAGCTACTTGACCGTCCGCACATCTTCTCTGGAGATGTAGCTGTTCAAGCTCTTTGCCCATTTTTAAATATTATTGAGTTGTAGGAGTTCTTTATATATTCTGGATATTAACTCCTTCTCAGATACATGGTTCGCACCTGTTTTCTCCCATTCTGTGTGTGGCTGTTTCACTCTGTTGAGAGTGTCTGGTTTGTTTTTGAATCAGCGACGCCTGGCCAGCACCTGGCACCGAGCAGGCACACTCCACTTTCCCGCACCCTAGTGTTCTCTTGAGTGGAGCCCAGACCAGCCCGTGAGCCCCCAGCCCTGTGAGGGGAGCGGAGGGACCATCACGAGCGGCAGGGCGGGGAGAGTCCCTTGTCAGCCACTGACCTAGCGCCAGTCCGGGGGCGATGCTGAAGGAGTTGAGGTGCGGGCACGACAAGGTCAGGTTCACACATTAGAAAGGTTCCTCTGGACATCCCCCAGCAAGTCCCCGTACTCCAGGAGCGAAAGGAGGAGCCACACAGAAGTGAGGTCAGAGCTCTGCAGCTGTGGTAGCCATTCTGGTCCGGGCTCCATCGTTCACTAGTTATGTGACCTCGGGCACAGAGCTCATGTGTCCGAGCCTCATGGCTCAGCTGTAAATAGGCAATAACTAACCCTTCCCCAGAAGGATGTGGTGCTTTCCAAGTCACATCTACAGGGTGCCTGGTATCTAGCCACTGTGACAATCCACCAGAAAAGGTCAGTCCCTCCAGGCTGGAGAATGTCCCCTCTTCTTCCCCAGGACACTCCCCGCACAATGCATGCGACACAGGGCAAGGGTGGCTGGCCGACCCTCACTACAGCTGGCTGTGCTCTCTCTGCCTGCAGTGGGACTCCATCAACGAGGTGGACGAGTCCTTCCGGCCCATCCACACGTACCAGGTGTGCAACGTCATGAGCCCCAACCAGAACAACTGGCTGCGCACCAGCTGGGTGCCACGCGACGGCGCCCGGCGCGTCTACGCCGAGATCAAGTTCACCCTGCGCGACTGCAACAGCATGCCTGGCGTGCTGGGCACCTGCAAGGAGACCTTCAACCTCTACTACCTGGAGTCAGACCGCGACCTGGGCGCCAGCACACAAGAGAGCCAGTTCCTCAAAATCGACACCATCGCAGCCGACGAGAGCTTCACGGGCGCGGACCTGGGCGTGCGGCGCCTCAAGCTCAACACGGAGGTGCGCGGCGTGGGCCCACTCAGCAAGCGTGGCTTCTATCTGGCCTTCCAGGACATCGGGGCCTGCCTCGCCGTGCTGTCCCTGCGCATCTACTACAAGAAGTGCCCCACCATGGTGCGCAACCTGGCTGCCTTCTCGGAGGCGGTGACAGGGGCCGACTCATCTTCGCTGGTGGAGGTGCGGGGCCACTGTGTGCGGCACTCAGAGGAGCGGGACACGCCCAAGATGTACTGCAGTGCGGAGGGCGAGTGGCTGGTGCCCATTGGCAAGTGCGTGTGCAGTGCCGGCTACGAGGAGCGGCAGGATGCCTGTGTGGGTGAGCACGCCGCGCGTGGGCTGGCCGGCCGGTGGGCTCAGTCTGAGCAGGGCTGCAAGGGCGGGGTGATCCACCGTGATCAGCAAGCATCTGGGTGGTACGCACAGTACCTGGGAGAGTGGGTGAGCCCCCAGTGTCTCTGTATCAGCAAACACACAGGCCACCTGTGTGTGTTGGGGGGGTGGGCAGGAAGCAAAACGTACGATAGCCGTGTGGTGCCCTCTGGGGTGCTGTGGGGAGGGCACCTGTGTGCTTTTCACATGCTAACGCATTTAATCCCCATGACTACCCTGTGAAATAGAAACTGCTTTCCTGATTTTATGGATGAGGAGGCTGAGGCACAGAGAGGCAAAACGACTTACCCAAGGTCACACAGCTAGGCAGTGACAGAGCTGTGAGTTGAACCCAGAAGTCTGACTGTATAGTCTGTGCTGAAAACCACTGAGCTACTGGCCAGTGGGGCGGAGGGAAGTGGCATGGGGCCCTGGGGGAATGAGCACGGGGGGGGGCACTGTCTCGGTCACGCGTGGCACTGGGGCACCTGAGACAGCCTTCCTTTGCTCAGGAGGACCTTACCGAGGACCTGTGGGAGGGGACACCCAAGGCCCCTGTGAAGGAGGACAGCTGGGAGCACCCAGCTCATTGCAGTGGCGTGGCTCCTGTTCCCACGGTGTCCTGCTGGGGTCCCCACATCAGAGACCCATAGCAGGCCCAGACCTCAGGCTCCGTGTGCGTGTATGGCCAGCAGGCTGTATGTGGGGGCAGTGCCACCGAGTGCCCTGAGTGCCCGGGACGCCGGGAGGGTGGCTGTGGACAGATGGCTGCTAACCCAGCTGTTACTGGTCTTGGCCCGTTGCCCTCTGCCCTTGGCCTCCCAGGGGTGGGGGGCAGGGCAGACACATGGCAACCCAGCCACTCAGAGCAGAGGGAAGCCCGCTGTGGAGACCACTGGTTCTCTTGGGGAAGGAGAATGTGCCCACGAAGGGGTCAGAGAGCCCAGGGCCCGCCCCCAGGCAGCCTCGGTGAGAACTGAGGCGGGGCCCTGTGGGCCGCCAGGTGCACCCTCCAGGCCGGGCATGGAGGCCATAGCTGGTGGGAGTTTCAGGCCTCTTGGCACCATCCCTCTGCCCAAGGCCGGCAGGAGGACCCCGTGGTGTTTGCAGGACACAGGCTGACAATTTCAGGAGACACAAGGTCATTTTGGGGACCAGGATCTCCCCTCCTACTACCAGACCCTTTTGGACCCCTCCCTGGTTTCCTTAAGAAATCTTTCTTTGCACTCCCAACTGCTACGAGTCCTCAGTTCTCCCCGACCCTAAACCTCAAAGCACCCTCTGTGACATTTGCCTGTCTCTGGATTGGTTCTACCCTCTGGCCTAGTGTTCCAGGCTCCCCCGGCCTCCAGCCTCTCCTGGTCCCTATCACAGGCATCCCTGTACTTCTCCAGTCCCCGTGGGGTAATAGTAGTAACCGGCATCCCTATTGCCTTGACAGCTTGCAAGGGGATTCCTCCTGCATCAGTTCATTTGCTTGTTGTAACAAGGCAGGCATTATAATTCCATTTTATGGGTGGGAGCACTGAGGCTCAGGATGTAGTGTTGCCTTCTGCTAGGGAAAGGTGGAGCTGGGACCTAGGTCGGTCTTGCTCCTCGCCAGGGGTCGGCTTTTCACCTATCCCTGGCCCACCTCAGCTGCTCTCCTTGCCAGAACTGGCTCCCAACACCCCCTCATCCTGGTGGGGACAATAAGGTCCTTTGGCAACATTGTTTTCGGTGTTTGCCATGTGGCAGGCACTTTAATAAGGCATTCTGACACATCGCGTCAGTTGCCTGTTCTGTGGAGTGTCATCTCCTGTGTCCCTGTCTTGGGGGAGTTCCCACAGCTCCTCATTCTTACAATTCTTCCCTAAGCTAAGTATTATGCCCCCATCATACAGATGGGAGACACTGAGTCCCCTCCACTTCGGTCGCAGAGGAGGGGTCTGGCCCCAGGCTGTCTCACCCGGAGCCCCACCTGCTTCCTCTGCACGGAGCCCCGCTTCCCTCCTCCCCGGGTAGCATGCAGACAGTAACAGTTTCGCCGGCCCGGGGATATATCAGCTCCGGGTCAGCTGCCGCCCCTGCTCTGGCTTAACCAGCGAGCACAGGCTAGTCCCTTGCGTGTCCTGTGAATGCGCTTGCCTGTCGGAGGGAGACTGGTCCTCCTGACTTCAGGGTTGTGACCTCACTCAGAAGACTCAAGTACTGCTCCAGCCTCCTCACGTGACAGAGGCGGGACGTGGAGCCCAGAGAGGGAATGCGTCTTGCCCAAGGTCCCACAGCGCGTCAAGGGGAGGGCTCTGGGTGGAAATCCGAGGCTTGAGCAGCGGGCTCTCCCAGGGCCAGGAGGAGCCACCGCCACCCCTGTTTCCGGTACGTTAATACCCAGTAAGAAGAGGCAGCAAAGCAGGGCTAGGGGACTGCAGTGTAGTCTGAGTTTTGCATTTAAATCGCAATACAACATAATTATGCTAGCTACCAGATAATTACGGGTTTCATAAAAAGTATTAACTCACAGTGCACGGCAGGCAGCGAAGTTTAAGGACAGATCGCCAGTTCTAGGCCGCATGAGGAGAGACTTTCCCCAGTCCCGCCCGCGGGCTTCCGTGATTGTTGTGACCTCCTTGGGGGAAGCGGCACAGGCCCCACACCGAGGCCCACCCCCTCCTTGGTGGGTAGCCTGAGAGAGGGGAGATGGGGGCCAACTAGGAGCTGGGAACAGATAGGGGCGCCTTTTCTGGGGTGCTTGAGGGGGTCCTCTCAGAGCTGGGGGCCCTGTGCCCAACCAGAGTGGGACCCCCCAAGGTCGTGGGGGTCTTGGCCTTCTCCGTTGGGTGGTTCTCTCAGAGGAAACAGTGACCAGCAGAAGGGCTGGGACTTCCTGGGGGAGGGGGGGTTCTGCCTGGCCCAGCCCTGAACGTCCCCCACTCCAAGGCCTGCAGTGGGGGCCAGGCCCACAGTGACAGGCACCCTCCCAGCCCCCAGACTCCCGTTTCCCCATTTTCACCCTCAAAGTGCCCTTCGGAGATGGCTGGGCAGTGCCTGATTTCACAGGGAAATCCATATAGCCCAGGAGAAGGGACCTGTCTGTTCACAGGGCTCTTCGAGGCCTCACTGAGACTGCCCTGAGGCCGCAGAGCCCCCCGGGGAAGAATGTGTGGCTGATCTGGTTTTCCAGGGAGGAAGTGGAGGCCCAGAGAGGTGAAGGGGCTGGCCCAAGGGCACACAGCTAGGCGTGGCTGATGGAATCAGCTCCCCTACCAGAAAGCCCCCCAGGCCTCACAGGGTTCCTGACCCAGTGACCTCCCCCACACCTGGCCACACTCCCCTCTCACCCCCACCCAGGAGGAACGTCACCCAGTGGAGCAGCAGCCCCGAGTCTGAAGTCCCAGCTGCCGTCCTTCCTGGCACCTGGACACAGAATATAAATCACCCTCCGTGGCCCTAATCATCTTTCTATAAATATCGGAGTCTCATTTCAGAATGGGGGGCACGAATATCAGGCTCTTTTGCCTCCTGACTGTGTTTGAAATCTGATTTAGAATTAATTTCCTTTGGTCGTCCACCGGCGGACACCATATTTGTCAAATATCAAGCTCTTGGCAGGGGAGGAGAGAGAGGTGGCCGGGGCCTCAGGCAGCAGCCGGCCTGACAGGCAGCCTGGGCAAGGTGCCCCGGACAGGCGCAGGAGCCCCTCCTGGCCCACGGCCCACGTGGGTGCACGCAGACTCCGGAAGCGCCCTGGGGTCGCCGGGCAGGCCCGGGCCCCAGCCCAGAGCTGCTCCATCTGTCTCGGCCATTAATTCCCAGCTCTGCCATCAGGTCTCTGGACTCCCTGAGGCCTGGTGATTAGTATTCTTATTAAAGATTATTTTATTTCATTGCGTGGATTAATCTGGCCTTGACACGTTCGAGCCCTATGGGTGTCAGTGGAGCGTGTGGGAACCGCCCACTGGTGAGTGGCAGAACGGCGGGGCGGGGCCGTCTCCAAGGCAGGGAGGACTCCTGAGGCTCCGGGACACGGGTTTGTATTCAGGGCCGAGGTGGGGGGGCACCTGGGGCAAAGCGCTCAAGCTCACCGACCCTCTCTGCTCTCTCTGCCAAGCAGCTATATCAATGCCGACCACACAGAATTGTAATAACAGGCGCTCGGCACCATCCTGGCATGAATTCACATGTGTGCATCCGTGTTGTCCTGACAGCGGCCCTAGGAGCCCACGTTTTACAGATGGGGAAACTGAGGCTCAGACCAAGCCCAATGTCACTTAGCCTGGGGGAAGAGGTCAGACAAGAAGAGGAACCCAGGCAGCCTGCACCCACCAGTCTGGTCTTAGCTGGAGAGGCCCAGATGGACTCCGAGGGGTCAGGGACCCGGTGGACGCAGGCTGTCCTGTGCTTCCTCCGTGCCACGCATCACACCAAGGCGTCACCGCGTGCGTCCCTGTCTGCCCCTCACTTCTCTGAAAGCTCCGTGAGTGCAGGCCACCGGCTCCCACTCAGCTCAGTAAATGTGGGTGAAGGGATAACTGAGGGGCAGAAGCAGCGAGCAGTCCCAGGGGTGCAAGCCACGTGGACCCGATAGATCATTCCAGTGAGGGTCACTGCGGCGTCCAGTTCAACAGCAGATTCAACACATAATTTGCTGACCAAGTGCAAAGTCCACGTCCTGGACTCAGGAGGAAGCTCTGAGGCAGGGCCCTGGACTGGGCCTGCTGGGGGGCTTCTGGGAGGAGGAGGTGAGATCGAAGAGCGTCGCTTAGAAGCCCCCACCGTCCCAGGAGCTCCCAGCCCCAAGTCAGGCCTGCGCCCTCTCTGGGCCTCCCAGGGCGGGAGGGGAGGCGTCTGCAAACCCAGGCACGTTTTCCTCAGCTCCCTAACCCAGCAGCCCCTTCCGGCTCCACAGCCTCTGAGTCTCTGAAGCAATTTAAGGATATTATCGTTTCTCCTGATGTCAGGTTTCCTCTCAAGTTAGTAGAGTTTTACAAATTAACCTGATTTTAGCTATTATAACAGAGATAGGATTTTTTTTTAAGTGATACAATGTCTTTCCAAATGGAGCTCCTCTCAAAGCCCTGAGGTTTTCAGAATGGGCTTAGTGGAGAGAGACCCCCTCGAGCTCCCTGGTGGTCCCTGCAGCAGAGGAGCCAGATCCATGGGTGAGCTGGGGGCTGCCCAGCTGGGTGGCCTTCGGGCCCCCTGAACCCCTGGGCTGGCGCTCCGCCTGGACCAGGTAATGGTGGGATTAGCTCACTCTGAGATTCCCACCCCCACTGGCAGCGTCTCGGCCAGATGCAGGGAACGTTGTGACGAGCACAGCGATACTGGGATCTCGTTCACAGGGACCTGCCCACAGCCCCTCTGGTCTGGGAGGAGCGTCAGGTACACGGCCCCAGGGTTCTAGGTGCTGAGACTGAACAGGGACTGCGGAAGCGGGGGGCGGGGGGCAGTCACGTGTGTGTGTGTGTGTGTGTGTGTGTGTGTGTGTGCACATATGCAGAGGCCCAAAAAAGCTTCGTCGAAGATGGTTAAAATGTATCTTGAAAGAGTTTGGCAGGCTGACAAAGGCAAGAAGGCACCCGGGGAAGAAGGCACGGCCCGTGCAAAGGCCCGGAGGAAGGGAGCAACCTGCTGGGTTGAGGCCTGACCGGTCCTGCAGCTCTGCCTGAGGATGGGAGTGGCAGGCAGCCCTGCAGGAGGCTGCCTGGTGGTCCACGGGAGCCCGTGAGGGTTTGAACCGGCAGTGCCAGTGTCAGGTGTCATTGCAGGGAGTCCCTCAGCCTGGAGCATCCCCAGTCCCTGCACAGCCAACTCCTCCTTGTCCTTTAGGCCACAACTCAAATATCATCTCCTGTTTCCTTCTTGGGGGAGGTTGCTCCTCCCACCATCCTCTTTATTTCCCTCCTGGAAGTGTGGCAGCCTGCCCACTGTGTGCCCCCCTCCCCTGCCACCCCAAGTGCCACTGAAGGCAGGGGCTGTGGGGATCTTGCTCACGGCCGTGTCTCCAGCTCCCAGATCAGTGCTCGGTGCAAGGCAGGTGTCCATGCCTCCTGGCGGAAGGAGTGGTGACCGCATCGGCAGGCAGGGCTGGAGGCTGCTGAGGTCGTCCAGACGAGGGACGAGGCAGAGGCTGCAGGGAGGGCCACACGGGAGACAAGTCTGACCTGGCCACAGTGACAGAGGGGCCAGGGGCCTGCAGTTCCTAGATGGTCAGCTTTGCATGAGGAGCTCGTAAAACATGGATGCCCCGCCTCCCCCCAACTCCCCCACCCCTGACCTGCTCTTCTGCCTCTTACCGCCCAGTGTCTCTTTTCCAGTTTTCACCCACCCTCACTCCCCGTCCCACTTTCCCATCCCACCCAAGGGACATCCCTGGGGTGTGGGTGTCCCTTTGATTCCTAGCCTCTCAGCCCCTGTGGCTGGTCTCTCACTCAAGGCCAGTGCCCTGGGAAGGACAGGATCAGGCTGGAGACGGGGCCCTGGTGGGAGGGCCTGCAGCAGGGGCTTTTCCCTGTGCCAACTTTGGGGCCGGCACTGAGGTGTCAGGGGCCCAGCCTCAGCTTTGCCTTCAGCTTGGTGTGCAAGTCGCAGGTGCTTTCTGTGTGTGAGTCTGTCCCTCACCAGTGTAGGCAGGACTGGGTGCTGCAGAAGTACCTCCGTCCCTCAGGGGGACCCCCGGGGAGCCCTGGGCCAGAGCGGGACCTGTCCCCGAGACCTGCTGGCTTACCCACAGCCCCTTCTCTTCCACAGCCTGTGAGCTGGGCTTCTACAAGTCAGCCCCCGGGGACCAGCTCTGTGCCCGCTGCCCTCCCCACAGCCACTCGGCGGCCCCGGCCACCCAGGCCTGTCGCTGTGACCTCAGCTACTACCGCGCAGCCCTAGACCCGCCGTCAGCAGCCTGCACCCGTGAGTACCTCCCCTGGACCCCGGAACCCATGTACGTAAGGGCTTCTTAGGGGGCGTGTGCACACTATGGGTGTGCACATCTGGGTGCCTGTAGGGGACCCCTACACCCCAGCAGAGCTTGCACAAACACACCTTGTGAGCTCAGCGTGTGCACTCCGGCCCTGCAAGGGAGTGTGCACCTGGTGCAGGCGAGGTTGTGGGCGTGCGTGCCTGGGTACCTGAGGGGACCACGAAGGCGTACTGCCTACGGGGCTGCGAGACTGTCTTGACTTTCTGCCGACACGGCTCCTCCATTGCCTCCTGTCCCTTAGTGAGAAGGGGCCTCTCACCCTTCTGTCCCAGCTGGGGAGGGACCACAGCCAGCTCAGCCAGCCCTGGCCTCTTGTGGTGGGGCAAGGGGGACTTCGTAAGGTTCCAGCCGACTTTGCTCCAGAATTTACCCCAAGCTGATCCCCATCTCTCCGTCCCCCACCTCCCACACCACCCAGCCCCAGGCCCCGTGCACGTGGTGAGTGAGGGCCCGAGTGCATCCGCACCACGCAGGTGTGCATCCACACATACTCTCCCCACTGTTCTGCCCAGGCCGTGCATCTCCCGGCAGGGGGGGGGGGAGGGGGCTGCCGGGCGGAAAGGATGTCTGCTAACTGGACTCTGCTTTCTCCCCAGTTTCACAGTGCAGGTTCCAGAAATCTTAAGATCAGGCTTTTAGTTACTCTTTACTCTCAGGTTCTAAGACTCTCTAAGATTCACAGATTCTATGGTTCTGTTTTCTTAAGATTGAAGATTGCCTTGCTGGGATTCTGAGAGTTGGAATTCTGAGACCCAGGGGTCTGCATAGCCCCTGCCCCAGGCCCGCCTGGCCCAAATCCCCATCGCCTGGCCCTCACCCCACCCCTCTCTCCAAGGTCCTTGTGGGTCCCAGACAGGGGCTCTCACCTCCGGGGAGGGAAGGACTGAGGTCACCTGCTGGGCTTCCGGGGCCTCCACTCTGCTCTAGGCAAGTGCACAGTGGTGTTGACATTAACTTCAGCACAGGGGGTAAAGGAGTGGGGGGCACAAATGACCGGGCATTTCACACCCTGGGTGGCTGCGGGGCACCCCCAGGGCCATGCTGTCTCCCTCCGACTCTGATGAGAACTTGGGGAGCACAATGCCCAGGGTCCCCGTGGCCCAGCCGAGGAAGGGGTCTTAGGTTTCTGTGCCCAGACTACACTGCCATGGTCCTGGTCCAGTGTCAGAGACACTGCCTCCACCCTTGGGGAGCTGCCGAAGGGTAGAGTAGGGGTGGCCTTATCCTTAGGGGGCCCCAAATATCATGGGGGAGCCAGAGACCTTCTGTGGTTCAGTGGGGGAAACTGGGCCACCCTGAGTAAATACCCTCCACCCCACTTGTCATTCTGTGCTCCCCAGGGCCGCCCTCGGCACCAGTGAATCTGATCTCCAGTGTGAATGGGACATCTGTGACCCTGGAGTGGGCCCCTCCCCTGGACCCCGGTGGCCGCAGCGACATCACCTACAATGCTGTGTGCCGCCGCTGCCCCTGGGCGTTGGGCCGCTGTGAGAAGTGTGGGAGCGGCACCCGCTTCGTGCCCCAGCAGACAAGCCTGGTGCAGGCCAGCCTGCTGGTGGCCAACTTGCTGGCGCACATGAACTACTCCTTCTGGATCGAGGCCGTCAATGGCGTGTCAGACCTGAGCCCTGAGCCCCACCGGGCCGCGGTCGTCAACATCACCACGAACCAGGCAGGTAGGCGGAGACGCTCCGTCCCCCAGCTTCCCGGGCCCCTCACCCTCCCAGGTGCTGCCACGGCCTCGCTGTGGCCTTGAGCTAGTGCTCGCCCTGCCCTGCTCACCAGGACCCGGAGCCAGCCACAGGCGCCCTTAGCAACATAGGTCGCCCTGTGACCCAGAAAGCACAGAGGCAGGTGGTCGTGGCCATCAGAGGCCAGGGCTCCCGAGCTTCCCCTCGTTGCCACCATTTCTCCCCTGGCACACCAGCATGCCCGGCACCGCCATCTTCTCTGAACACGCTTATCAGGGCCCGTGGCTCTGAGTCCACTTTTGTCCCCAAGTTTCTGTCACCGCACGGGCCTCTCCCCTGGGGCCCAGCTGCCCACTCCCACCTCCACTCAGATGTGTGTTAGACAAGCCCCCAAACCTTCACCTCCCACAGGCCCCCATCTCAGGAAATGGCGCCACCATTCATGGGGTTACTCAAGCCCCAGACCCTCGACTCCCTTTCCGTCCTGCCACGTCCACCCACCAGCCAGGCCCACTGGGTCTCCACACTCAGTGTCCCCACCAGCTCTGTCCTAGTCAGCTCAGGCTGCCAGAACTGAACACCACAGGCTGCCGGCTTCAACCCCAGGAACTGACGGCTGACAGTTCTAGAGGCTGGAAGTCCGAGATCCAGGTGCTGGCTTGGTTCCTGGTGAGAACGCTCTTCCTGGATGTGGATGGCAGCCTCCTTGCTGTGTCCCTACGTGGCAGAGAGAGAGCAAGGGAGTAAGCTGTCTGGTGTCTCTTCTTCTAAAGGCACTAATCCCAACAAAAGGGTCCCCCTCCCCCACCGCCATCCCCTCATCTAAACCTAATTATCTCCTTAAGGTCCCAGCTCCAGCGATCTCACTGGGGGTTAGGGCTTCTGTATGTTAATTTGTTGGGGTGAGGGGAGACAGTTACATCCGTAGCAATGTCCATGTGCCCATCACGTGTTGCCTGGACAACCACAGAAGCCCCCTCTCACCTTGTCTCGTGATTGGTTCTCACTCCACATCCTCTTCAACACGTATTTCTTGTCTTATTGACAGTACCCATTCCAACAGCTGCGAGGTGGCATCTTACCTCGGTTTTAATGTGCGTTTCCCTCGTAGCGAGTGATGCAGAGCGTCCCTCCTGTGTCTCTTGGCCTTACGTCTTCTTTGAAGAACTGTCTACTTAGGTGCTCTGCCCACTTTTTAATCAGACAGTGTGCTTTTCTGTTCTTGAGTTGCATGAGTTCTTTATGTATATTGGATATTCACCCCTTATCGGAGGTATCGATCTGCAAATATCTTCTCCCATTTGGTTGGATGACTAAATTTATACGTTATTGACCAATGTTACCCCAATAAGTTTAATTTCAAATAGAACAAAAAGTGAGCCCAGGTCGTATGTGAGCCCTTTAACAATTTTAGCCTGAGCTCACGTTCAGTTCAGACCCTCCCATTGTGGGGGGGGCCATGGCTGGCTCCGCCTGCCTCTCCAGCCTGGCCCCACCCACTCTGGCCTGGCTGGCTCCCTTTCAGCCACACTGGCCTCCACTTCCCCTCCTTGAACACACCAAGCCCTTCCCCTCCCTGGGCCTTGCCCTTGCTTCTCCATCGCAGTGACACACACCTTCCTGGGACGTCCCCATAGCTGGCTCCTTCCATCCTCAGCTTACCTGGTGTCCCCATCTCCGGAAGGCCTACCCTGGCCAGCCCCGCTAAGGTGGCCCCCCCACCTCGATCCCTCCTGGCCCCTGTGGGCGGTCCTTCCCCTCACGGTTCCCTCTTCATGTGTCTCACGGCACTTCACCAAATGGTCCAGGTTTGTCCTCAGAGACCACTTGCTCCTCCCCCTGCCCTCACCTGTTCTCGAAACCCCGCTTTTCCTGAAGCCCTCTCTGGTGCCCCCCCAGTGCCCTCCCTCTTTGGAGCCTGATCCCCTGTGTGTCTGCCCTACTCACACCTCTTGCCTAAGAAAGGTCTTCCTCTTTCAGAGGTGTTAGGATCCCTGGCTCTGTGTGCATCCCTTGCATCCAGTGGTCTCACCGGGGCCTTCCTGACAGGGGGTGCTCTCTGGATGGGGAAGCTGCCTCCGTGGTGCCCCAGCCAGCAAGCGGGGGCCGTGCTGTGCACCCTACCCACGCCCCGGGCTGTGGGGTCACCTACGTACCACCCCCTCCAACTTAACTCTGGAGTTGCTTCTTAGTTTTCCATGTCAAAGTCATCCACATTTATTGGGCACCTACTGTGTATGGTCCCTGCCTTCAGGGGCCTCCCAGACCTGCCAGGGAACAAGATGCCCAGATACGAGGAGGCAGGTGGGAGACACAGGAGGTGCAGGGCTGAGGAGAAGAAGAAGAGGAGGCCTGTGGGGGCGGCAGAGGGAAGGGGGCTGCACCCCTGCAGGCACTTCCCTGTTTGGCTGTGGCTGGTCTGTCTCTGATGCTTTGTAGCAGAACCCCCCCCCTTGGGGTAACTGCACTGGACAAGGGAGGGAGGGAAAAAGTGGGCAGATTGGTCCATGAGTGAGAGGTGAATGGGCATCTAAGTGTGACTCGAGAGCACTTGAGCTCAAATGGGCGGGACTCAGCTCCTGTCCTTTCCCTAATTTATCCAGAGCACCCCTGGTCACCCCTTCAAACCCAGCAGCAGCGAGGGCACGGCCCTCTTCTGTTCATGCCTCCCTTCTTTCTCCTTTCCTTCTTCCATCCTTCCTTGAGCTCCTGAGAGCTGCCCCATGGAGGGCTGGGGGTGGGAGACTTGGAGGTAGAGACATTGGTGATGGGGCCCCGGGGTGGACAGGAGCAGCTGCTTGCTGGGGTGGCGGGGTCCTGCACTCCCAGTGGAGGGGGCTGGCCAGAGAGGAGCAGGTGGTGGAAGCTGGGGCCCTCTGGCCCTGTCTGGGTCGAGCCAAGCCCAGCATCCCAGACCAGCGGCAGGCCGTGCAGAGCCTGGGTGACTGACCAGGGTGGCAGCCTATGACTTGCCAGGAGGGCTGGAGGGGGCTGGCTCTCCTGGGGCAGAGGCAGGACAGCCAGCAAGCTGAACATGCAGGATCTGGGAAGGGGTGGGACAGAGGCCAGCCCTGATGATCGTCACCCATCCATCTGAGCAAGGCTGCCTCCCTCCCTAGCCCCGTCCCAGGTGGTGGTGATCCGCCAGGAGTGGGCAGGCCAGACCAGCGTCTCGCTGCTGTGGCAGGAGCCTGAACAGCCCAACGGCATCATCCTGGAGTACGAGATCAAGTACTATGAGAAGGTGCCAGCCCTGTGGCAGGGAGGAAGGGGGAAGGGAACCAGGTAGGGCTTCCCTTGGCTGACTGCCCCTCCTGTGGACAGGACAAGGAGATGCAGAGCTACTCCACCCTCAAAGCTGTCACCACCAAGGCCACCGTCTCGGGCCTCAAGCCGGGCACCCGCTACGTGTTCCAGGTCAGAGCCCGCACCTCGGCAGGCTGCGGCCGCTTCAGCCAGGCCATGGAGGTGGAGACCGGGAAACCCCGTGAGTGCAGGGAGCGGGGAGGGCAGGGGAGCTGGGCCAGGCCGAGCGCCAGGCCCTGCAGTCAGAGGAAGGGAACTTGCTGAGCAGGTGCCTGTGCTGGGTTGGCATTTTTATAGCTAAAAATAACTGAGGCTCAAAGAAGGAAAGTGACTTGCCCAAGGCAGCTGAGCTTGCAACAGCCCACGAACACGGGCTTTTGCCGGACATCAGTATGACCTGCAGGCATGGTGATGCCCCCTGCTAGCAGGATAACCTTGCCCTTGTCCCAGAGGCCCTCCAGTGAGTGGGTGTTATCCACACTGCACTTTACAGACAAGCAAAATGAGGGTCAGAGCAAGGAAGTGAACTGCCCAGGGTCATCCAGCAGCACAGGATTTGAACTTGGCCGGTGTGGGGACAAATTCTGCGCCCCTTCCCCAGTGTCCTCCTGCTTCAGAGCAGTGGTTCTCACAGGGTGGTCTGGGGCCAGCACCATCAGCAGCACTGGGAGCCGTCAGAGATGCTGATACTAAAGTCAGCAGGTTCTATCAAGCCCCCAGGGTGGTTCTAAGGCACGTTCAAGCTTGAGCCCTCGAGCCCCATCTCCAGCCAGTGGGGTCTTTTCCTACACTCGGGCTCCCTCCAGGGGGCGGTGCCGTGATGGAGAGGCTCAGGGCTGAGTAATGACCCTGCTCACCCGCACTCCCTTGGTATTCATGCATCTGAAGTGCCCCGAGGTCCGTTACCACATTGAGGCTGTAGATGGGAGTCCTGCCCGCTGCGTCCCATTTACTGTGCGGCTTTGAGGAATAGCCTCAAAGTTTTCTCTTCTGAAAATGGAAGATAGTATCTCCCAGGAAGGGGTGCGGGGTGGTTGGCTGAGACTGGAATGTCTGCCTGGAATGGCAGCCCTCCACGGGCATTTTTTGACTCACGTTACAGGTGACGAAGCTGAGGCTCAGAGAAGTCTAGTGACTCCTTCCAGGTCACACAGCCCCAGGAAGTGGTGCCACCGGGTTGGGGAAGCCAGGAAGCCCGAGGCAGTGGGGTTGTAGAGAAGAAGCTTAGTAGAGGCAAGGTGGGGTCAGAGGAAGCAGTGGCCTGTGTCCTGACCCTGGGCTGACTTATGGCTGAGGGGGCGGCTGCCCACCAGGCCCAGGGAGGGCCGCCGAGCCCCAGGCCAAGGTCAAGGCTGAGAGGCAGCCCCCTCCCGCACTCCCGCCGTTCCCTTGCAGGTCCCCGCTACGACACCAGGACCATCATTTGGATCTGCCTGACACTCATCACCGGCCTGGTTGTGCTTCTGCTCCTGCTCATCTGCAGGAAGCGGTGGGTGGCCCTGGGCCCTGGGCCCCCAAGCCTGGCCCTAGGGTGCCGGGTCTTCTGCCTGTGCCTGGGGCTGGGCTCACTTAGATACACCTGTCCTTTCCTCCTGGGAAGGGACCCTTTTCCCCTGCCTCCCATGCCCTGGCCCACCTTCCGTTTTTTGTCCGTGTCTCTGTCTCCTCCATCTCCTCCAGCCCCTTTTCTCCATACAATTTCTAAAGGCTGAAGGATCGGGGGCTCGTCCCAGGCCCTTCTCTCTTTCCCATCGACCCAGGTCCATCTTTTGTGAGTGACGTTATTAGGGCCCATGGCTTTGAACTCCACTCTCATGCTGACATCCCCAAACTTACATCACCAGCGCAGACCTCTCCCCTGAGGTCAGGTGGGCCACTCCACTTGAGTGTGTTTTGGGCAAACAGCCCCCAAAACCTGCACCTCCACGGGCCTCCCCATCATAGGACATAGCACCACAGTTCATGCCACGGGATGGCATTCAGGCCCCAACCAAGCTCGCCAAGATCACACAGCAGAGCTGGCCTTAGAGCCCCATCTCTCAACCCCTCCACCAGGGACAGTTTCATATAAAATCTGGCTAACACCTACAGAATTTGCCGGGAGGGCCAAGTGGACTCAACTTTGCAAATTATGATGGGTTTATAAATGTCAAGGATGTCGCCATCTGGCTGAGAGCCTGAGGGTGGGGGCTCCCCCCGAGCAGGGACAGGGGCTGGGGCGTCAGGTGCTGCCCTGAAAGGGGAAGGGGAGGAGGGGGGACGAGTCTTGGCTTTCCCCTGAATGGGGCCAGGGCTGGGCCCAGGGAGGTGTGGCCTCGGGCACAGTGTGCCCGTCCTCCATCCTCGCAGGCACTGTGGCTACAGCAAGGCCTTCCAGGACTCGGACGAGGAGAAGATGCACTATCAGAACGGGCAGGGTGAGTGCAGGGGCCCTGGGTCAGAGGGCAGAGAGGAGGTCACAGGGCTGGGGGGGGGGGCCAGTGCTGGTCTGGGAATGGGAAGGAAAAGGTGCCCTCAGAAAAGACCAGAGCCCAGGACGTCACAGAGACCCGAGACCCCAGAGGTGCAGCCCTCTTCCCCCTTCGTGGGTCCACAGACCCCAGTGAAGGTGCCAGGGACCCTCTTCCCAGGGAAGTGCATGAACGCACACATGCGCCCACAGTTTTGCATCCGATTTTAGGGAGCTTCCCATGCTCTTGGACAAGAACCCCTGCTGGAGGGAGTTTTTTCAGGACTCTGCAGAGACCCCAGAAAACGAGCCAAATATGGGGGTGCCTACCTCCACATCCCACTTTTGGGCCTCTCTACATATTTGATTCATGGTACTGATTCCCGCTGAGCCTGAATGCAGCAGCCTCAGAATCCTTCTTAACATTGTGGTCTAGAAAACCGTGTTCAATCAACCCACCTTAGTTTCCGGACCGTAAGACACACACACCCCCAATTTGGGAGGAATAACGGTCGTTAACGCTGCTGTTGAGTTCTGTTTACATTTACGCTGGTGAAATGTTATTTATGTTACTAAATATTTTACCACATTTTTTGCTTCAAAAACATTTTTTTTCTATTTTCCTCTTCTAAAACCTAGGTGTGTCTTATGGTCCAAAAAATATGGGTGCGTTGACACTTGCCATGAAATCCTTTTGCTACATCCCTACCCCAGGACAATTTAGAATGATCTCAGGACTCTAGAAGTGACCCTATAAAGTGACAGACATGCTCCAAACTCACTGGAGACACCAAAGGCCTCTGGAGACTCAAGAGCTACTCCTCAGAGACCCTACTTTCACTTGGCAAGCACTTATTGTACACGCAGTGTTTGCCACCACATCCTGCGATTCCCAGAGATGACCCACCCGCCCAGGCCCGCCCCCAGATCTGCCCAGGCCCATGGGATGCTGGGAGGGAAAGTCCTCCCCGACCCCACTGAAGGCCCTTCTGCCCTGGCCCTCAGCACCTCCGCCTGTCTTCCTGCCCCTGCACCGCCCCCCGGGGAAGGTCCTGGAGCCCCAGTTCTATGCAGAACCCCACACCTACGAGGAGCCAGGCCTGGCGGGTCGTGGTTTCACCCGAGAGATTGAAGCCTCCAGGATCCACATTGAGAAAATCATCGGCTCCGGTGAGCCTGGGGGTCGTGAGGGTGGGGACCACACGGAGGGGCACCCAGGGCAGAGGGAGAGGGGGACCGAGGGGCCTGGTATGGCCAAGCCCAAGGGGCCACTCCGGTGTGTGTTGCTGGGGGAGTGCGGGGGTTCTGGGCTGAGGGAGGAGGGTCCCACTGCCCACCCCATGCCTGCTCTACTCGGGTCCGCAGGAGAGTCGGGGGAAGTCTGCTACGGGCGGCTGCGGGTGCCGGGTCAGCGGGACGTGCCTGTGGCCATCAAGGCCCTCAAAGCTGGCTACACAGAGAGACAGCGGCGGGACTTTCTCAGTGAGGCGTCCATCATGGGGCAGTTTGACCACCCCAATATCATCCGCCTTGAAGGGGTCGTCACACGTGGTAGGTTCCAGGGAAGGCAGCCTCACCCTGCAGGGCACCTAGTGCCAGGACAGGGCTCTGGGTCGATCCCATTCCACCCTGCTCTGCCTGTCCCCCGGCTCTGTCCCCCAGCTCTGTCCCCAGGTGAATTGTTTGGGAAGGGCACCCACAGCCATGCCAGCAGGAGCCACAAACTCCCCAGGGCCTCTGTGCTGGCCCAGCCCCTGGTGGGGGACATGCTCCCGGGGTATCTGATCAGCAGCCCTGATTCCCCCACCAAGAGCCACCGCCTCCCCATCCACCTCCCCAGGCCGCCTAGCAATGATCGTGACCGAGTACATGGAGAACGGCTCTCTGGACACCTTCCTGAGGGTGCGTGCCCCCTTCACCGTCCACACGGGCTGGGAGAGGGAAGTGCAGCCTGGGTGTGGGGAGGTGATGTGAGGCCTGCGAACACCCCCAGGAGCCTGGACCCTGCGCCCTGCAGCCCTTGGAAGGGGAGCCAGGTACAGAGTCTTCATGGTCACCAGACAGCCTTCAGCCCCATCATGTCCCCGTGTTGCACGGGGTGCTGCCGCACAGCCACGGGCGCAGAGGGCCGCCCCCAGGCGGGAGGCACGCTGGGTATCCTGGAAACCCCTAGATTCCCAGCTCTCCCTGCCGTGTATTCTGCTGGGTACTCTGAGGTCCAGGTCTCAACCTCTCTGGGCCTTCATTTCTTCTGTGAAACGGATGCACCGTCCTCTCTGCCCCACCTCCCTCTCGGGATTTCCAAGAATGGGAACGAGACTGTGGGAGCAACCGAGTCCATCACAGGCTTCCCGAGCAGCGAAGCGCTTTGCAAACTGCAAAGAGCCTCCCTGCAGCCCTAGCTGTGTCCCCCGCAGACTCACGACGGGCAGTTCACCATCACGCAGCTGGTGGGCATGCTCAGGGGCGTGGGCGCCGGCATGCGCTACCTCTCAGACCTGGGCTACGTCCACCGTGACCTGGCCGCCCGCAACGTCCTGGTTGACGGCAACTTGGTCTGCAAGGTGTCTGACTTCGGGCTCTCGCGGGTGCTGGAGGACGACCCCAATGCCGCCTACACCACCACGGTACGTGGCCCACTCTCCTGTCCGATAGGCCCCCAGGGAGGGGCAAGGTGGCACAGAGGGTGGCCTTCCCCCCACCTGTCGTTCAGCGAAGAGGCCAATTTTGGGGTTGCCTTCTGCCTGAGGCAAGTCCTTCCTCTTCTCTGCACCCCCATTTCTCCTTCTGGGAAAGGTAAGCAACCTTATCTCCCTTCCCGCTATTGCTGGGGGGCTCTGGATCCCAGGGCTGGTCCCCACGACCACTCGCTGGGAGATTTGGGGAAAGTTAGCATCTCCCTGAAACACATCCACTCCACATCTGTCTCTAAAGTTTGGCTGCATCCGAGCATTTTCAAAACGCACCTCGTGGAGATTTGGGTGTCCTGGCAGGTGCCTCTGGGGCTGCCCTGGAGGCAGAGGCTGAGTGGCGGGGCTTGGCCCCCCAGCCCTGCCTCAGAGCCTTCGCTTTGTCTCTCACCCATGTGGCCTCTGAATAAGATTCCACAGAAAGGATCTGTGATGCTCCCCCCCCCAAAAAAAAAGAGAGAGAGCAGGAGGAGGAGGAGGAGGGAGAGGAGAGGAGAGAGAGGGATACCCAGCCGTGGTCTCAGCTTCATGCCTTCTTCAGGCACTGACCCCTTGACTGGTATTTGCTGAGAATCTTCAGCGTGCCAGGCACTTGCACACTTCCCATCACTCAGTTTTCACAGCAGCTGTCTGTGCTGGGCTCCCTGATCAGCCCCCTCCCCAGGGCCCTGGCCTCGCCTCCCCCACTGGACTGCTTAACAGGACCCTGGCGGGAAGGGACCTCAGCCTGGGAAACGTGACACTGTGTTCAGCTCCCTGGCTCAGGCTGAGGACGCGAGCTCAATAGTCCTGTGTCCCTCGCAGGGCGGGAAGATCCCCATCCGCTGGACAGCCCCTGAGGCCATTGCCTTCCGGACCTTCTCCTCGGCCAGTGACGTGTGGAGTTTCGGCGTGGTCATGTGGGAGGTGCTAGCCTATGGGGAGAGGCCCTACTGGAACATGACCAACCGCGACGTGAGTGTGGGGGCCTGGCCGGGCAGAGGCGGTGTGGGGCCTTGGAGGGTGGGCCAGCCTGGAGCCCAGCACCTTGCTCCCTCCCCCAGGTCATCAGCTCTGTGGAGGAGGGGTACCGCCTGCCGGCACCCATGGGCTGTCCCCGCGCCCTGCACCAGCTCATGCTCGACTGTTGGCACAAGGACCGGGCTCAGCGGCCTCGCTTTTCCCAGATTGTCAGCATCCTTGATGCGCTGACCTGCAACCCTGAGAGTCTCAGGGCCACAGCCACTGTTAGCAGGTGCCCAGCCCCCACCCCAGCTCTGCCCCAGCCAGCCCGGCTGCCCTCCTGGCATTGCCCTGACTCAGTCCCAACCCTAGGACAGCCTTGCCCTGACCCCTGGACCAGACTCAGCCTGACCCCTGACCCCTGTTGTCCCTGGACCTTCCTTGGCCCTCTCCTTCCAAGCCTGGGGTCTGGCCCCTCAAACCCTTTGCTCACTGCTGAGCCTGGATGGAGGCCGAGGGCAGCTAATGCCAGGGTCCTCGAAGAAGGCAGAGGTCCTGGCAGGCCACTTACCAAGGCCCCTGTGCTTCAGGTGTCCAGCCCCCAGCTTTGCCCAGAGCTGCTTTGACCTCCGTGGGAGCGGGGGTGGCAGTGGCGGCCTCACTGTGGGGGACTGGCTGGACTCCATCCGCATGGGCCGCTACCGGGACCACTTTGCTGCAGGTGGTTACTCGTCTCTGGGCATGGTGCTTCAGATGAACGCCCAGTAAGTGGTGGTCCCATGGGGGCTGGGCAGGGGAGGGGGCAGCGGTGGCTCCAGGGATTGAGTATGTCCCCGTCCCCATGGCTCTTGGACCCCCAGGCCAGTCAGGCCAGCACCACCCTCTTTTCACAGGGACGTGCGTGCCCTGGGCATCACCCTCATGGGCCATCAGAAGAAGATCCTGGGCAGCATCCAGACCATGAGGGCGCAGCTCACCAGCACCCAGGGGCCCCACCGGCACCTCTGACCAACCCACACCAGCCCTGGGTCCTGCCAGCTATCGGAGGATTTGCAGGGATGGCCAGTGGTCTGGGCAGCCCCTGCTCCTTGGCTGCCTTCCTGTCAGGTGCCCATGAGGCCGAGGACTGCCCGCCAGGACCTGGAGTTGTCAGGGTTGGGCCACCTGCAGAGGGACCTTCGGTGCCCAGCATGGCTGGGTTTCCTGTCCCCAGAGCAGGGGGCCTTCTATTTCCCAGATGTAGGGGCCTCAACGCCACTGAGCCCAACGGAGACATCAGTCACCTGCTTGTGTGTGCATCTACCCGCCGGGTCCCAGCGTGGATGTGTGCCAGTTAGGGCACGCGTGCTCATCCACTAAGACTGGGACACGTGTACACGTGACTGTAGGTGGCGTGTCATGGGTGAGGATGGCGTCACAAGCCTGTGAGCAGGGCCCTCCGTGTGATACTGCCCACAAATGTGGGTCCAGGCCCCGGCGCCCACCAGGACTGCAGTGAGGCTCAGACCCACCTCCCCCTGCCTGGAGGCTGGAGCCAAAGGCCACCTCTGAACCCGCACCAGCACCAGGCCCGCCCTCGTCTCCTGCCCCCGACCCGGGCGAGCCAGCTCCCGGCTCTATCTCAGGTCCCAGCCCTCCCTCCAGCTGGTGGGGGGCCGCCTGCAGCCTCCACCTGGCTTCTACCACTGCTTCAACGGGAAAACAGGGTTCCCGGCCAGCGCCCCTGGCCGCCTCAGTATGTACCACAGGGTACAGGAGATGCCCGCAACTGGACTCGGCTGCCTGGCTAGGGGCCCGGAGCCACCGCATTTCCTCTAGTCTCTGATGCCTGCCTCAGCCCAGGGCTCCTCTCTTGGGAGTCCCTCTGCCCCCCTCACTGCCCCCCAGCCCCACGCCTGGAATCAGGGACCATAGGATCCTAGCTTTGGAGCCCCAAGCACCGCTCCTGCACCATTGGGGCACCCCCGGGGAGTGCGCAGGTCTTGTCCAAGGTCACAGAGCAGCCAAGTTTCTGAGCTGCACCTGCTCCCAGGGCTTTTTCCCCTGCACCATCCCACAGGGACAGCTGTGGGTGGGAGGGCGCTTTGAACCCGCCCCCGCCCCCACCCCCGTCAGAGACCGACCCTCTCCCTTACGGCCCACCAGGGTATGTAAATATCTTTTTTCTACCATGTCAGAATATTTTTTTCCTCATTCCTGACAATGCAAAAATGGTCTTCAAAGCACATAAAAAGCACCCCGGGGTGAGAAAGCTCCATCCCAGGGGAAGCTGGCAGGGCCCGAGGAACCCCAGTGGGCAGGCCCAGGACCCCTGCTGACCTCCAGGGAGGGCAGGCCCAGCCCCCAGCCCCAGCCCCTGCCCAGCCCTCCCTGCAGCCGGCAGAGCTGTTCCGCGGAGACACCAGCACTGAGCCCCTCTCCCTCCTGCAATAATTCGGGGAGTCAGCCCCGCCCAGGTGCGCGGCCAGCTGTCTACACCTCTATATGTTACTATATAGCTGAGCTGCTCTTCCTTCCTATGGAAGTCAGAAACAGGGTCAGGACACGGTCTGGGGGGACCCCGTCTTCCTCCCACCCGCACCCCACCCTCACCCAGCTCCTGGGCTCTGGATCCTCACGTTCCGTGGGGACACAGTGGGGCAGGCACTCGCAAAAGTGTGCCCCCGCCCTCACCGAGAGGCGCCCCCCAGGGCCCCAGGGATGTTTCTCTGTGGTCTCCATCATGAGTCTTGAACTTGCCCACAATGAGAATAAATTCTGCCTCATCTTTGCCTGTGTCCCCCATTTTTTTCCATACAACCTTGACGTCTGGTAAAGAAGGGGCAGCCTTCTGCTGTGCACCCACCTCCCTTACACATCCCGTGCATTTCTTCCTTTCTGGTCTTTCCATCTCGCCCAGGAGGTGAGATTCGTGCACCCAGTTTATGTGTGGAGAGGCTATGGAGGTCAACTTGCCCAACACCAAGTTCTGAGTCAGAGCCCAGGTTTGTCCAGCTCGAGCCCATGTCCCACCAGCAAGCACCCATCAGCCCCACAGTCTCTCTTCAAAGATGTACAGACAGTGCTTGACCTGGAGCACGGCCCCTGCCCTGGGCTCTCCTGGGGAAGAAAGGTGCCCCGCCGAGGAGGAACAAGCATTTCTCAGGAACAACTTCCTCGGGACCCAGGGGTCCACTGAGAGACATGGGTGCTATGGGGCAGGGCAGGAAGGTGGGATGTGAGGGTATTCCACAGTCAAGGACTCGCTTCTGCTCCGAGAGAGAAGGGACAGCACGCGAGGAGCTGGGGTGGTGGCATCAGAGCCTGGGCAGGAGAAGGGGGCAGAGTCCAACTGTGTCCATTTGCATCAGTGACTCAGACATCTGGGGACGATGCCCCCAGGGTCTTCTCGATGAACCAGTGACTGACTCCAGCAGCCTTTCCAGCTGACAGAACAGTCTTTACTTCTGCACCTCTCTTAAATTGGGAAAGTGGGACAGGGAGAAAACACCTTCCGTGTGTTCCTGCAATCTCGGCAATAATCGCGACAGCCCTGTGGGGTGGGTAACATTGTCTCCGCCTTACAGGTGGGCACACCGTCGTCCCGGGAAGCACACCGCCACATAAAGCCAGGTCTGTCTGACTTCAAGGCAGGCGTGTTTCCCCCTGAAACTCTAAACTCTATTCCAGGGCCCTCCCCACGGAGGAAGAAGCTGTTACTACACACTTCTCTTCCCTAAGGACCAGTCAGCCTCTTGCGCACCTACTATGTGCTGGCTGCCACTGGGGATACAAACAAAGGTGATGGAGCCCCTTCTCTTCAGAGGCTGAGACCAGGTGGGCACACAGAACGTGCAGAAGTGGCTCCCCTGATCAGACCCATGTGCTAAGTGGCCAGGAAATGGGGCACAGAGAAGGGGTAGAGGACAGCCGAAACCTGCAAGGCCGGGGCTGTCTCCAAGGACTTCCTGGAGGAGGCGTTCAGGTGGGCCACTGGGGATGAGAAGGATTTGGAGGTTCATTTCCTAGGCAGCCCCCCAGGAGAGGGTAGAATGCAGAGCAGAGGAAGAACACCACTGGAGGAAAAACAAATCCTGTTCGCAGAGTGGAAGTCTCCCTGTTAGGAAGTCGGCTAGCCCCTCCCTCATCTACAGATTTCACTTCACGTAAAACTTGCAAGAGAGTTTTCTCTGCAACTGGACAAGATCACCCCACAATGTATGTGGAATAATAGAACCTAGAATAGCTAAGATCAGTTGAAGAAGAAGGGGAAGGGAGTGGATGGGAACCTCACCCTGCCAGATGTTGATAATTACCATAAAGCTCTAATAATTAAACCGGTTTGATTTCAGCCCAGGAATAGAGAGACGGATAAAAAGAATGGAGAATGTGCCTAGGAACAGATCCAAATGTATACGGGAGTTTGAAACACGACAAGGTGTAATGGGTGATGTTAGGACCATTAAATATGCCCCCTGGAAAAAGATAAAATCAGATCCCTACTCACATGGCTTACAAAACAAGTTCCCAGTGATTAAGGTCCTAAATGTAAAAAGCAAACTGTAAAACATTTAAAAGAAAAAAAACAGGAAACTAACTTTATCAGAAAACGAATAGCCCTGGCTGGTGTGGCTCAGTGGATTGAGCATCAGCCTGAGAACCGAAAGGTCATGGGTTTGATTCCCAGCCAGGGCACATGCCTGGGTTGCAGGCCAGGTCCCCAGTAGGGGGTGTTTGAGAGGCAACTAATCGATGTTTCTCTCCCTCTCTTCCTCCCTCCCTTCTCTTCTCTCTAAACATAAATAAATAAAGTCCTTTCTTTTTTAAGAAAATAAACACACATGATAAGAAAAATTATAATAAACCTTCATTAAAATAAAGACTTCTACATAACAAAACAAAATAATTCATTAGTTACAATGGGGAAAAGATACATGTATTTGCAACCTTATTGCCAACCTAGAGAGAATTCGTTTTCAAAATAAAATTACGACTCCGGAGAATCAATTTACCAAAAGATTGCAAAGCAATAGGAAAATGGGCAAAAGATATGAACAGACAAGTAACAGAGGAAGAAATATGAACGGCCAATAAAGATATGAAAAGATTCTCAACATCACTAGTAAACGTGGAAATGCAAGTTAAGACAATAATGAGATCGCACATCACACCAATCTGATGGGCAAAATTAGCCTCTAACACTAGTAGTGATGAAAGTGGGGGCGGGGATGGCAACGTCTACAAACGGCTGGTGGGAATGCAAATTGGTACAACTACTCTGGAGAGCAGCTGGGAGACAGTACATTTTAAGATGAGCAAATCTAAGACCCAGCAGCTCCACCTTAGTTAGTGTCTGTCTTAGGTTAGGTTCCCACGCAGGGCCTGGGATTCTTGTGCAGGTGATTTATTGAGGGACAGCTCCCAGGTGAAGAGCCAGGGGAAGGCAGATAGGGTGGGAGGAAAAGCTGAGCAATTATGTGTTCTCCATGGGAGATTAGCTTCACTCTGATGCCTCAGGGAGTCTGGGGCATTAATAACGCCACAGAGTCGGTCCGTCTGGCGGCAAGGGGCCAGTCTTTGGTACCCCCCTGTTCATCAGTCACTGCCTAGGTGCTGCCCCCTGGTGCAGGTGGTTTAACTTCCCTGGAGAGCAGATTCCCAAGACGGGAGCAGCCATGAGCCCTTAGCAGCCAAGAGCAGCTGAGGAATGAGCATACCTGCAGGAGGTATGCATACCTGCAGGTCAAAGGAGCCTGGTGAAGGCACCTGCAGTGTTCTGTATGCGTCCTATTCTATACTCCCAGGCAAAAGAATGCATGCCTGAGGATCTTCATTGCACCTCAGTCCATAATAGAAAAATGAGGAGCAGCCTAACTCCCTCTCAGCAGGCAAACAGGAAAATAAGCTGCTTTATACGTACAATGAAATCGTCTATTACAGTTAAGATGAATGAATTTGATCAACATGTACCCGTATGGATAAGTCTCCAGAACATAATACGGTGTGAAAAAATAAACGACAAAGGAGCATGTGCAGTATCACATAGTTTATTTAAACTTTTAAAATATATTTAACAACAGAATGACAGGTTTTGAATGCAGGACTAGAAAACAGCAGTGTATGTCTGGGACAGATAAACGCCTGTTTTAGCTCGATTTCTTCTGAGGAATAAAGGTCAGGAAGCAGGGGTGTTGGGCTGTATCTAGTGTTGCATTTATTTTCCTTGTTAGAAGGAGAGGGCTCTGGTATCAAGATGGTGCAATGTTAACACCGTTTAATCTTAACGAGCACATGTGTCTGTTATGGTTTTTTTTGCATGTTGAAATGTTTTATAATTCAAAACCAATAACGTCCTAAAAACTGCAATGGAGGGGTTCTGAAGGCTGCCCTCAGGAATCGCAGTGTCCCCTGAGAAATGGGACCTGGCCCTTCGGGGACCCTGTAGTATGCACTGTCTGAAGCTGGGCAGCCTGCATCTAACCATTTACCTCCCCCGCCCCCATCCTGGCCCTGCCTCCACCTCTTCTCCGGAAGTCTGCAGGAGCCCCCACCTCTGGCCTCCCTTCTTCCTCTCTTGCCTCCTTGAATGCATTCTCTATAAGCGTTCAGAGGGATACTTTTAAAATTTCAACTGGATCATGCCACTTTTCTAGTTTCAACCCTCCAAAAGCTTCCGATTGAGGTTATAATGACTTTTGAGATCCTCACCTGGCCCACAGCATCGCACGTGGTCTGCTCCCACAGGCCTCTCCCACCTGCCTCCACCCTGCCCCGCCCCCTCACTCCTGTCCTTCCTCTCCGCTCTTGCCCGAACCAGGCCTGGGCATTAGCTCCTCCCTCTGCCTGGATGCTCTTCCTTGTCTGCAGAAGCTCCAGGCCGAGTGTGACCACCTTCCACCTGAGTCACTTTCTACCATGTTACCCAGGGCTACTATATCCATAACTCTTAGCACCAGCCAAAGGGATCCCATTTATTGTTTCTCTCTTTTTTTAAAGATTTTATTTATTTATTTTTAGAGGGGAAGGAAAGAGAGAGAGAAAGATCAATGTGTGGTTGCCTCTCATACACCCTCTACTGGGGACCTGGCCTGCAACTCAGGCTTGTGTCCTGACTGGGAATCAAACTGATGACCCTTTGGTTCACAGGCTGAC